AATGGTATCAATCTGAAATGTCTTACCTTCGGGAATTCTTTCCAAGGAAAATTTCTTTTCTACAAGACTGCAAGAGAACCCTTGAAAATTCTCTTGGGACAAATGTTCAGCACATCCCTGACACCACCTCTCTTAGATACACAGAGCAGTTTCTGTGGAGGGATACTCTAATTTTCTTGCACAAGGACTTTACCCTACTGAATGGCACCAACAGACGGCTTCGTTAGGAAAAAAAATATGGGACAGAGGAGGTTTGTAGCTGAAATGATGTAGACAAAATCCAAGAACATGGTCTGTCAGCTACAATATTGATTCTTGCCTTCCTGAAGAATGCATTGAGTAATTACGAATGGAATACAATCCCTTTATAGACAATGACGCAGAACATATATATTGAGCATGCTTTATCTAATTGTTCATAGAAACAGCAGGAAGGGTTCCTTCCCAGCATCCTGTCTTTCATTAACCTTCGTCCAGCTGCAGTGATATCCTGTGCAAGATTTTCCATGTTTCATCTCCTCTAGTTTATCCTACATACCTTTTTTTTAAATAAACAACACTGAAACTGCACTACCACCTGTAGGAACAACTGATGGTGCCATAAACCCTTGACACTTCCCATGTCATAATAATGATCACTTTATGCTACCAAGATGTTGCACAGTTTGGTATGGTTACAGCCAAAAAACTTTGGTCTTAAAAACAGAAGTATGAACTTACAGAAGGCATTCTGAAGAATACAGAGCTTGTTATTTTGGGTCAGGATCATTTTCAGTCCTGTGCTGATCTGGGAGAAGAACAGCTTCAGCACTGAAAACCTGCTGTTACTAATCATTAGGATGTTCCTAACCGGCTTGTGTTTTTTGGACAGAGAGATGCTTCTCGGAGGAGGAAGAACAGCCATGCATTTGTCAGAGTAATCATTACGAGCCTCTTTTTTGCAGTTTCCTATATAATCCTAGTTCTCAGGAATACTTTCTGTCCTATCAGCTGAACAACATAACACCTTACATCCTATCTCACCTCCAAAGGATTGCAGGAGCCCTGCAACTTCAAGTGTCTTATTATCATCAGAGAAAATAAAAGACAGCCTCCAGGTCACTTGAGGTTGAACGGTTCTAGCATTCTTTTCTTTCTCTGCAGTCATCGTTGGCAGCTGGTTTAATTGCAGGAGAACATTCACATCACAGGCTTGATTGGGGTTTGGAAATAGTCATAAACAACACCTTTCTTCTTTACTCTTCTTATTCTTCTTATTTACAAAAACTAATACATAATTGCCTTAGTCATAGCAACTTGTGATGCCCAAATCCCAATTTTAAGAGTACTGTATGTCTGAATCCAGTTGGTAATGCCAACTGGAGTTGATCCACTGAATCAATATCCTGCAGCTTGGCACAGTAAATCCCACTAGAGTAGGTCCCTTGAATGAATGGGGATTTAGTAAGTCAACTCCTCCACTTGTTTTATTGATTCAAATGGGCCTACTCCAGTTGCTAGTTACTTCTAAATGAGTAGAATAGAGTGATTGGAATCAATGGAATTTAAAGAGGAGTTGACTGACTTAGGTTAAGGTTAGGGTTCTCCCTTGACATTTAGTCTAGTCGTGTCCGACTCTAGGGGGCAGTGCTCATCCCCGTCTCCAAGCCATACAGCCAGCGTTTTTCCGTAGACAGTGTCCGTGGTGATGTGGCCAGCCTACTTTAGTACAGTCAACTTCATAAGCAACAAGGTTTGGGGCATGTGCTGTCACACCATTCGGCAACTGTTTAAAGGGATCTACTCCAGCCGGGACAGCTGATTGGATTTAGGCCTGTACTTTTAATTGGCACCTGAAAAACTGCAGCTCATAAGGCTAAAGTATATGAAAGAGCTTTCTCCAGTGGCTGCACTCTGCTTACAGATCTCCTTTCAGTCAGAGCTGGACTTTCAAGCACCAGTTATTTGTACAAGCTTTGGGGGAATATGCTCATGTTCAATAGGTCTTTGAGTGATGTTGATTTATATTCCTTTTGCAGCATTGTTCAGCAGACATTTTAGTCTGCGATATTCAATATTTCTAATTTTGAATGTGTATAATCAATTGTTTTGGATTTACCATTTTTGATATTTCTAACTGGTGATTCTGAGCATTGTAAGCTATTGTGGCCTCTCATGAGGAAGGGTGAATTAATCAATCAAACCAATAAACAAATCACATTCTGGTTGTCAATTAATTAATCATTCCTTCCTTTTGCAATGTAACTCCCATAATCCCGCAGTTATTTTATGTTGAGATAAGACTGTGTTTCCAACAAACCTGATTTTGTTTTTATAAGCCAGTTTTATTTCTTTTTATGATATGCATTCTTACAATACCTGAACTTTTCAGTCCTCATTGTTTAGAATTACCAAGGATAGTCTATTCCTTTATCCACAAAACAATCTTGTCAATGTTTCAGCTCATAATATTTCACCTCTTTACAACTAACTACACAGCCCATGATGCTGTGCAAACCCAAGAAATACACAGGCATAGGAAAGCCATTTGAATTCTGTAAAGTTCATACAACATGAAATAAATTGCAGAAAGATGTTCTCCAGAAATATACTGCTCAGGTCTATCTACTCAATCCAATATATCCTTGAATGGGTTTCACCTAATCTTGCATGTAAGTCAGAAACCATTCAGATCAAGAAAAAAACAACCCATCACTTTGGGACACATTTTGAAAAATATTTTTTTTTTAAAGTAGAATTTCAAGAATCTCCCACCCAGCATGGCCAGTATGGATTCTGGGAGTTCTAATGCTTTGAAAATCTACTGTCAGAAAGACGTCAACAATCTGATACGAAGTAATACAATAACAACTTTTATTTGATAGACATAAAGAAACCAACTCTAGAACCAGTTCTAGGAACTTCAGAAACTGTCGTAAGTAATCGTTTTTCCTTTTTCACCATCCCTGAAATGATTACCTAAGTTAACAAAGAGTAGCTGAAATCCTGTTTGTGTAAATTCTGTGGAAGCTGAAATCCTGTGTGTGTAAATTCTGTGGCATAATGTCTGTACTTTTAATTGGAACCTGTGGCAAAAGGCTGATGATATAATCAGCTAGGGCAATTTTTTTTGGAAAATTAAACATTCCACTTCCTTATCCGTTGGCTCTCACAGGTTCCCAGTGATGAAAGGCTTTTTTGGAAAATTAAACATTCCACTTCCACTGGCTCTCACAGGTTCCCAGTGATGAAAGGAATTACTTGGAACCTGTAGGGGCTTTGTGATACAATGGTGAAATGTTAATTTAAAAAAAAAGTGCTGGCTGATGCTGCAGAAAGTATACAACAGAAAGTATACAACAGGATTTCAGTGGCCGTGTCTCCTTTTCTGCTTTATTTTCAGTCTCCGGTCTAGTCATTTCTAGTCACAGTCTCAGTACTAGACCTCTGCATTGTGGCAAGAAGTATCAAATAACATAGTACAACACTATCCTTTTTCCTTCTTTGGCCATCTCATGAGAAGAGAAGACTGCCTGGAAAAGACCCTGATGTTGGGCAAGAGGAGAAGGGGACAACAGAGGATGAGATGGTTGGACAGTGTCACTGAAGCTACCAACATGAATTGGACCAAACTCCAGGAGGCAATGGAAGACAGGAGGGCCTGGCGTGCTCTGGTCACGAAGAGTCGGACACGACTTAACAACAAAAACAACAACAATATGGGGTATTGTGGACACTAGAGGACAGAAAGGGGCTTTTTAGGATCCACCAACCCACATTTTTGTAAAAACATTTGGAGTGGAGAGTGGGTGTAGCCCTCCAAGATCTAGGGATAGGCATTTGTGACTCTGGGGCATCTGGAGCCTGCTCACCTCTGTTTCAACTGATTTCTAGTGTTGGTGTGATTTTTTGACCTCCCTCTTCAATGGGTCACGTTGTGAGTACAAATATAGAGAGGGGCTATAGACCAGCTTTCAGAAGATTAGTCAGATACACTCACATTCTCAGTTTTTCCCATTCAGCTATATACAGAGGAAGGTATGTGTGGAATGAATTATACACACAGGGAACTGTTCATCTTCTTTATGACTGCAATGCTAAAAAATGCAGCTTTCTTCAGAAGAACCATTAGTTTTCCTCATGTCCAGTTTTCACATCCGTGCACAAGCAACCACCAAAAAATTGATCACTCCAAGTCATGATTCCACAATTCCAAGGGGAAAAAAATTTCAACTGGGCTTACCATGTGATATGTCTCCCTATGATTGATACAAAATGGATACGAAAGAATCTCTGAAAGTTACAATTTGGGACTACAACTCCCAGAATCCCTGGTTAGGACATTCTTTAATTTGTAGTCCCCAAGATATATGCTCTTCAGAGATGTACCACAATGTTAGTCTAGTCCTTGCAACGATTAACCCCAGATGTTTCTAACATTCTAAAATTAATTTTTCTTATCCCTAAGGATTATATTGTTGGTAAGTGATACAAGAATTTATTCAGATGACATTTAAAGGAAAGGGAGAGGGGAGCCCTTCAATTTCTTAGTCTTTGACAGAGCATTCTGTATTGCCTAAAGCCGCTTGACGCAGGAAGGTAATGAGGGTTGTCAATTGTTTCACTGTAATTACAACCTTCGTAATATAATGTTACAAAATTATAATATAGCTGAAGAAAATGAGAACAGGGGAGAAAACCATTTACCAGGAAAAAAAAATACACACTCCCAAGGAACTGAGAACAAGAGAGAAATATCCATATAGCAAGTGTTCCAGGCAAAGATCATATTCCAGTATCTGTATTCCCATAGTCCTCCCCCACAAGCCACAATTCTAAATTCAATACATCAAACGCATAGCAAAACTGTATTTAAAAAAAAAATTGCAAAGTGTGCCAGTTCAAATAATTATATGATGTTAAATGCATGCACCCTTTCAGACATTTGCTCCCGATGTGCGCTGCTTTGGAGCCCTTAAGACTTTTCGAAAAGAGACAGAAAGAGTCTTTCATGTACTCACGGTCATTGCACAGCGTTCCACTGAAAGAGGTCATGCTGCAGTCGCAACTGAATCCATCCCATTGCTGCAAGCAAACTCCTTGGTTCACACATGAGTCCTCCTGGCATGTTGTGCTGGGCCCTATGAAGAAAACACAGAGAAGAGAGGGAGAAAGAGAGAGAAAAAAGAACTTGGATTTTTTTTTTGTCTTCCATAGCGATGACATTTGCCATTGGATCACATAGGGTAGTTGCCAACATCTCAAATCTGAAGAGCAAACCAAAGGAGGAGACCAACAGCAGGATGGGTTGTAACTGGAGGTGACTCACGGCCAGGGCAGGAGAGGCCTGCACCCCATCCTGATCTACAAGCTGCCCACGGTCCCAGCTTTAAGGTGTTATGAAGCAGCATACATGGACGTAAAAGAAATGAGTTCATTCAGAACCATAACAAAACCGAGCGGCAACTCAAGCAAAACGAAGTGGTGGTGGTGGTGGTGGTGGTTATAGATGGTTTTAATTTCATGTCAGCATCTAAGGTCATCTCTTTCCAACAGGACAGCTTTGCCAGGGACTGTGGAAAACAGAATATACCTCTTTAAAGAATAAAACCATGAAATGGAGAGGGGGGAAAAACAGCTAGAAAATAAATGTACTGCCATCCAAGCAATGGTTTGATGAAGAGCAAGATCTGTAGAAGGTCAGGAGGCATCTGGTTTGGCATATTCTTTTTAATATACAAATAATATATATATATATAAATTGTGCATTGGTTTATAAGCAGGAATGTTGGCAAGTATCTTTTTTCATGCATCAAATGATTCCATGCAGGTAAAAGAAATAAATAATCCAAAAATAGATGGGGGAGGGGGAGAGAATCAGCCACCTAACACACCAGCATGCTCAAAAGTGACACCACACGTGAGAAACAAAGCTATTCTATTTCTAGAGAACATAAACTAAACCAGCGAAGAGAGAAAATTAAAATAAAAGAAAGGGGTATAAGGGAAGGTATGATCAAAGCACTAAAGCAATCACTATACAAATAAACACAAGACTGAAAGCCTTTAAGCCGAACACCCTGCAGAAGTAAGGCTCCCTGCATTGTATTTTTAAAGAGGAAGAGCAGAAAAATCTGATGCGATGCCACAAACATCAGTAAGGAGGTGTCTGGGAATTCCGAACACCTTGATACAGAAGTGGCTGATGGTTCCAAATGTGTCTTATGGGGTTTCAGTCTTGTTTAATATACACATGGGCCATCTACCTTGCAAATCAGCTTTCATCAATGCAACTTTGTCAGCAAAATTAAAAAAAAAGCAAAATATATTTAATGTTAGTACTCAAATATAGAAATGGCAGCAAACACAGAAAGTCTGTTCAGAGAAAAAAAAAAGGTGCATGCTGCTCTTAGAGAGGAAAAGAAATCCCACGTAATGCAAATAAATTAAAGCTAATAGACATAAATCTCCAGGCAAGCCGAAATGAGAATGCAGTAATTTGCCAGCATTTACGACAGCTATAATGGCTAATTGAGCTGATGACATGTAATGAAGGAAAAATTAAATGCATTTCTTTCCATCGGATAGATGCAAACACATTAGCAAATGGAATGCATGGTTTAATCCTGACTACTCATTTGTCATGTTCAGGCACTGCCCGTGCCATTGTTAGCATATTATCCTTTCTCTCCCTTCTTCTGCAGCAGGTCTTCACCTGGCGTTGGTGGAATCAGCTCTCACCTTCATGTCAAGGACCACGTATTGACTTTTTGACCCAGACAGTTTTGCCCTCTCCTGATTCCAGGAAATGCTGGGATAAGATCAAAAGAAAGCTCACATTTCTTGTGTTGTTCCATGTGGGAAATGGAACTATTCAATAACACATAATGCTACTCTGGAGTCTTGTATGCTAGCTCTCTGTCTATTTTTTTAATGAAATTGTACTGGCAAAGGTAGAGAACAGGCCAGCCGAATATTTAATTAAGTGCTCAAATTTAGCTAATTTCATGGGATGGATCCCTATTGTGAAATATCACACACTTAATAAGGGGTTGTAAAAACCATTTTTGTACTTACACTTTTCTTTCTTTCTTTCTTTCTTTCTCTCTCTCTCTCGCTCTGTGTGTGTGTGTGTGTTTATCAGTCTCCAAGAGTTTCCACATTTGCAGGAACAATTTTTGCACAATTTATGCAGACTATATAAACTCTGCCAATTGCACACCTGAACTATATTTAGCAGCTGCCTTGTTGCCTATATGCCATATACCCAGGCACCCAGTTAAGTGAGGAGCTGAAATCGAGGTCCAGACATGCTCAGGTACATAGTGGGCAGGCAATAACACATGTCACTTATGGGGGGTACTGATTTGCACTGAGCAATTTCAACATGATTTTGGCCATAGTTGGCCATTTGAAAGGAATCTGATCAGTGTGCTAAGGAACCCACTAGAATGGCAAACCCCAGAGCAAGCTCTGTATAAGATCCTCACGGTGCAGTGGTTAAATTGCAGTACTGCAGGCAAAACTCTGCTTATGTCCTCAGTTTGATCCCAAAGGGTTCAGGTAGACGGCTCAAGGTTGACTTGAGTACCCAGGTCATTGGGGGGCGGGGCGGGGAGAGGATATGTAGCCTTCATTATTAACAATTTGTAAACCATTCACAGAGTGCTTTAAAAGTACTACAGGGTGGTACATAAACTACACACTTTTGTTGTTGTGCTTTGCTTTGCTTTCAGTTATTTTACAGAGCTAAGTGGCTCTGAGAATAAGGAGATGAAAATCTCTTTGTCTTTATTTTGTTGTGTTTCTCTAAATTCCCAGAGTAGACATTGTCTAAATGGGCGGTGTATAAATGTAATTAATTAATTAACGAACAAACAAACAAACAAACTCCACCTGGCGTTCCCCCCCTTTTGTTTTGTTTGTTTGTTTCATAGAGTTTTGCAGGACTTTGGGTTTGTTTTGGGGTTTTTTTTAAACCTTCCTGCATAGAAAGCCCCACATTTTTTTAAATTAATGCCATGTTCTTCAACATGTACATTTATTTATCAATTTTACCTGAGTGATGCATTCTCCCTTTAAATATATAGTTTTTAAAAACCATTTGCATTTTAAAATGTGTTTTCATATGTTCCTTCCCCCTCCAAAAGGATCCCTAAGTTCCCCAAATGTGAAACTTATTGAGGTGAGATGGCTTTCTTCTGGCAGGAAGTCAGTAGAGATGCAAAAAGCAACTTTCACCCAGATTGTGGAATCCAACAATATTGTTCCTGTTCCTCTCCCGGAACCACCTGAAGCTGGCAGAATCATGCCTACTGTATTATTGTCTGACTATCTGTATCTGCAATGGTAACACTGAAGGAGAAAATATACCAGGCCACCAACTCCCTCTGCTGACAGGATACCATACTTGTGTCCCAATGCAAAGTCTTTGGTCTAAAAGAAACTCAGCTTGTAAACATATTGAATTATGGAGCATCTGTCTCTGTCTGTCTATCTAGGTATGTCACATAGGGATGTAACAGAACAGAATCTGTTCTTGATTATCCCAGAGTGCAGGACATGTAATAATGGTCTCAAGCTACATGAAGTCAGATTTAGGCTGAATATCAGGAAAACCTCTTAACTGTTAGAGCAGTATGACAATGGAATCAATTATCTCAGGAGATGGTGAGCGTTCCAACTCTGGAAGCGTTCAAGGAGACAACCATCTGTCAGATCTGCTTTGATTTGGATCCCTGCATTGAGCATGGGGTTGGACTCGTTGACTTTATAGGTCCCTTCCAACTCAATTATTAGAATCGTAGAATCATAGAATAGTGAAGTTGGAAGAGGTCTATATGGCCATCATGTCCAACCCCCTGCTCACTGCAGGAATACAAACCAAAGAATATCTGTCAGATTCATACGATTCTATGATTTTGAAGTAATTACGGCTAGGATCTCAATCACTGTTGAAAATTTACTCACACTAAGGCTTCCCTTTGGCTATCAGATTTCACAATGAATTGAATGCCATTTTTTTTCAAAGGTGATTTGATTGTGAACAGAAGAGAAGGCCATTACAAAGAGGGCTTTTAAAGCAGGTGCAAAAGAACTGATCTTGTCTAGACTAAATACACCTGTGGTTGCTGTTTGTAGAGATCAGGATTGAAGCAATGGATGAACAGCTACTGAAAATCCGTGTTGGCTGAAATCTTGTTCCTTAGCATAGTGAGCCACACTCGACTGGGCCCAATAGAATCAGTCAGGATTTGGTGTGTCAACCCCTGTGTAAATTCTATTGATCCAGTGGGCTTACTCTAGTGCAAATTACTATGCTGAGCAACAGGTTTCCAGACACTGAATGCTTCTGTACATGTCGTAGGACCACTTAAATGCAATAGAGAGGCAGTGATTCCCTGAACTCCAGTCTAGCAGGGCTTGCTACTTAGGATTCCCATTCATGTGGAGGATTTCAGCCTCAGCAGCAGATGCCTTCATGAGCATCTGACTCATGTAGCAGAACACAAAGTCGAGGGCCACTCCTTTGAGGCGCTTGCCTTTGATACAATGAAATTATTTATTTATCATTTTATCAACCAGGATGTCATCCTACATGGTGAACCATAAATCAAATAATATTTGAAAGCAGATTAAAAATAATCTATCTATCTATCTATCTATCT